ACAGCCGGACAAGGTGCACGACTATCATCGGTCGGGATCCTTTGCCAATAACTTGGAGTCTACCTACTCCGTGGTTGCACAAGATACATGGTTAAACAAAATATTGGAGTTAAAGGTAGCAATTTTTAACATGATACAACACTTAGATGAAATTAGCAGATCAATGTTGACAATATCCTAATTTTCTAACTTTACCTCATAATATATGTGAGCCAAATTGAACACGACATGACACCATTTCAGTATGTTAACCCAGGCTCTCCCATTGGTGAAAAGGGAAAGAAGAAAGACACGAAAAATACAGAGTTGAGTTACAAATCATGACCCCGCCCCGCCATACTGATCAACCTAGACAGTTTATCAAGCATGAAGACAACACATAAGAAAATTAGAGGAAACGAAAGAAAAAGAAACAAAGGAGGATACAGAAAATTCCTGAAAAGGAAGTCGAGGCCTTGTTAATCTTATGCTTCTGCTCACCGCACAAAACCGGAATTCACAAGGTCAAACAAGGGATATCATTGACCTTCGATTGTCATCTAAACCAGACATGTGAAGTGAAAACAATAATTACACTTCCTAGGCTACTTTTTTCAAAAAATGGTAGGGTCTTTGTATCTCTTGAAAATATCTTCAATGTCAGCCACCACTTCCGGTGGCAAAGGCCTCTCCGTCAACAGAAAAGCATCAATGTCTTCCTTCAGTTGGTTCACAGAAGTTGCACCAACGATTGAACTTGTCACAAATGGACGGTCCCGTGCAAACCCAAGTGCAAGCTGAACCAGAGTTAGCCCGTGCTTCTTGGCTGTCTCGATATACTTTATTGTAGCTTCCTGAAAACAGAAAAAGTAACATTAAGGCAGAAAATCAACAAGTTGTAATGGAAATTATCCTCATCAATCTATATCCAGAACATAAAGTAACTCGTCAAGCAAGGCAAACCAACTATTTCCAAAACATCCAGTGTAAAAACTATATTTCATGCTGCTGTCCGGCTATGGTTTTTAATATATCCAATGACAAGTTGGAGTGCAATCAACCTACTTGTGGGTGGTGCTAAGTTCAAAGGCCTTCTAATTAGGAGTCCTAGCCTTTAATTCCAAACAAGGGCACTTGTATCAATAATGGGATTAAATTAAATTTGAAATTTTCTTCTAATGAAAGTATAAACAGTCAGCATGTGCTTTATTCAAATCAACAGTAAACACTGATGATAAATCCCCATATCAGAGCAGTTCATATTTTTATTAGATAATAAAATAACTAAATATATCGTGCATGTTTGGTGTTTATTTGAATTTAGTCTACATGATCTATTATCTATATGACATGTTGAATATTAACATACCCTGGCAATAGATTTGTTATATCTTTCCATGTAGCGAGGGAAAAGGTTCAGCCTCCCATTTTTTGCAGCTTCGGAATTGATATCTATGTACTTTCCAGTAAGAGATCCACCACCCAGTGGAGAATAAGCCAGTAAGCCAATGTTGTAATTTTTCGGGTGGCAAACTTCAACAAGATCAACTGCAAATAATCAAGTAATAGAATTACAAACTCAATGAAGTTAAGAGAATGACATACAAAAAACAGGGAGGGAAAAGGTAAACATGGCATCATGTAAACATCTCTATCCAATGCACACAACAAAGGTGTCGATCAGTAAAAGCAACAGGTTGGATACACAGCCCAACCATGTCGATATCACAATACATGAGAAGATATAGGTCAAGTGAGGTAGGTATAACTTAGCTTAGCACTCAAACAAGTAAAACACTGTAATTTCAACAAGTTCAGCAAAGATTGGTTAAAGACGGTCAAACAAACTGACAGAAAGGAAACAACTAATGAACCATATTGTATTATTTAAATGTGTCTCAAAGGACTAAGATTGCAAATTAGTAATCAAAGAAAATGGAGGCATTTAATTTACCATTTTAGGTATATTATACTTAGTTCAAACATATTTTGATGTATTAACTAGCCTATTCACATCATGGAGTTGATATAACTATCTAAAGAGAAATATCAACAGCAAGTTTTATGTCAAGCTGACTAATATTAAGGTAAAAGATTTTATCTGCTCATAGCATCAGAATATGACTTACTTTCAAAACGAGTTCTAACTAGCAGACTGTAACTGTTTTGGATACTGACAATCTTTGGTAGTCCTTCAACTTTAGCTGCATGTACAAATTCCATCACTCCATATGAAGTTTCATTGGAAACACCAATGTAGCGTACCTATACCAGTCAAAAGGAATCTATATCATGTAAGTTAAAGATGCTTAGAGACATCAAGCAGTTACACAGAGCATGCAACACTCCAATTTTTAGTAGCATTCATGAATCATCTCAGAAGTTACGCTTTCAAGATTCACTCTTTTTCTAGTTATGAGTGTACCAACTCATAAATTCCCAGTATGTTCCATCTACATTGATGCAGACACAACTAGGAATTCACAAAGACAAACTCAAGAGAACTATGATGCTATGCTTAAATTCACATTATAACAAGTCTTGAAAAAATTAATAGTTTTTACAAAACTTCCACCTCTGATGCAGGTGCTTTACAGTTGAACCTGAAAGTCAAAACTTTCATTGGTTTGAATAGTTGTTACCTTTCCTTCATCAATGAGTTCTTGAAAAGCCTTCAGCTGCTCCACGAATGGCACACTTGGTCTCCATTTGGAAAAATCATAAGAATACGCACCAAATAGTGGCACATAGCGATCTGGCCTGGATTAAACAAAATACTTTAGTTTCCTGAAATCACCACCTTAAACTAGTTAACATCCAGATTCTTTTTCTGAAAAGTAAAGAGCAAACATCTTCACTAGTCATTCCAACATATCATGAGACAAATTGGAAGCCTTCAAATTCAAAACGAAGTAACACTGCTGGTTTAATGCTTAGTTTGCCTTTAACCCTGCTTTTAAGTGATTCCAAGAATGGAAATGTGAATCAATATGGAAGGGTTCCAGACCAAATGAATGGAGAAAGATACATTTTCTGTTACTCACTTATTATTATCATTATTTCTTGCACTCTCAACCTACGTTAATTAATGATTTTCCAAAGTGAAATAATTATTTCAGCTTATTTTCTTCAATGGAAATGGAAGTTACTTGTAAATTTAATACATAAAAATTGACAAACTTGTCCAATGATGTGTTAAGTGTTCATATGAATGTCACATGACCAATTTCCATTTAGAGTCTTAAAAATTTTCAAACGGAATGGTTGGTTTGATTGCTCGATTAGGAGAGGGCAAAACAAAAATGGAACAGCATGAAAACCAGTCCTTACCAAAGGACTCTGGTTTGCTTCATAGAAAAGATCTTCAGTTCATAGATACAAGCAAAATGTACAGTTAAAAGACGCTTGAAATGTCTAATAAAAAACAGACTAAAAAGTTGGCCCAGTCCTAAGTTCATTTGATGAGTTGTGTGATACCACAAGTGGGTCAGGAAAAAAAGAACAATTTTGCAATTAGAGTGTGAGTCCATGTAAAGTTCCAGTTAATTATCAGAACGGGTACGTAGTGTGTGATACTACAAAAATCACAAACCAGGTGAGAATGTAGCATGTAAGTTTGTATAATGTGTGAAGTTTGATCAATAAACTTACCAATGAATTTGTATTAAATCAATGTAATCTGTGCCAAGGCGCTTAAGGCTTTTCTCTACACTTTCCTTAATGTTTGCAGCATCCACCCGCAAGACCGTGGCATTGTCACGCAGATAACTTGCCGTCTCCGAATACCCAGATACTTTTGTTGCCAAAATAACCTATTTACACAGCATAGTAATGAGTTAAAATGATGGTCCTTGCCTTGTTATTACTGTGAACCAGGACCGCACATTCAGACATCATTCAACCAAATCAATGGTCCTAATTCAATGTGACAACATAACCATCAAGTACCTTATCACGGGGTTGAGACTTGAGCCAGCTGCTGATAAAACGATCAGTGCTTCCCTGAGTTTCCTTCTTGATTGGAATTGGGTACTGCAACAAACAAAAAAGATTTAAACATTAATCAAAACCCAAACGAAACAAATTTAAACTGAGGCCAACAAAATTCAAGCAATCTACAAGCACTTACAGCTTCTGCAGTGTCCAAAGCGTTAATCCCATTTTCGAATGCGTAGCTGAGAATCTCATGAGCTTCTTTCTCTGTGTTTTGCTCGCCGAATGTCATGGTTCCGAGAGTGATTTCGCTAATTACAAGGTCTGAGTCTCCGAGCTTCTTGTACTGCAACGACGTCTTCTGGTCGAGCTTGGCATTGATGGTTGCTTTCACAGAGCTCCGCCTACAGAAGCTTCTTCTGGTTCCGGTTCTGGAAGATGACCACGGTGATGCTGTTGCTGCGTGGTTGCAGAAAAAGGCGGTGGGGCAAGAGGCCATGGTGACCGATAAGGCTTTCTTGCTCCGCTGCTTATTAGGCCTTGTCGAATTCCAACCGTTTCAAAAGTCAATGGAGCTCTGTGAGACACACACTGTGACACACGTGCATTAAGGAGAGAGGAAGTGCTTGGGTACGTGGACCGGACATCCATAATTGGGTCAACAAGACTTCAATAATATCATTTTAGGCCCAATAGATTAAAGTGTAAGGGAGTAGACTATGGTGAAACATTTATAGAGCCTGTCTGGTGATGTTTTCTAAAATTATTTTCATAAAATGTTATTTTGAAAATGAAACGGGAAACAAATTAGTGTTTTTAAGATTTAAGCATGCGTTTAGTAGCTTAATTTGAAAATTATCATAAAATAAAACAAATATTTAATATAAGAAAGGCCAATTGTCATGCATGAAGCATGTGCCGATAGAATTTATTAAACAACTGTAATTAGGATGAGAGATTCGAACATAACACTTCAGAAGCAAAGGTAAAATACTCTTAATACACACCTTAACCATATTACATATATCACATTTATTGTAACTCTAGTTTTAGAAACTAGTACAATATGGGCAGGCGAGCATCTATGGCTAAGTCTTCCCAGAAGTGTAAAAATTTCTCCTCCCATGAAAATAAGCAACCGCTTTGTCTCGAGGAGGTAAGTTGTCCTTGATCACAGGGTGGCTAAGAATTTTGTTGATCCATGAAATGATTGCAGGAAATTTTGAAGGGTCCAAAACCTGCCTGGAGCCTACTTCCTCCCAAATAGGCAGCCAGTAAGAGATCCACCCCATTGCAATGTCCAAATACCCAATGCTTTCCCCTCCTAAAATCTTCTTTCCCATGAGGTCTCCTTCTATGTGTTCCAAGGCCTCAATAGTTGATTTCAAAGCCTTTTCTTGTTGCTCTCCTGTGGAGCATATTAAAGCTGTAAATGCAGCATCCAGAACCTAACAAGAAATTAAAAGTCAGTCAATATATGAAATCATATCACAAAAGATATGTTTGTAAAATATTCACCAATAACATGGTTGATCATATCTCTTACTTAGTATAACATTGGTGAAAGCAAAATTAGACTTGAGTGGCCGGTAGCTCTGTGCAACATTTGAGAAACCATAAGCTTGTACTCTTTTTTAATTTTCTTTTAGTACAAGCGATTGGAGGATGGAGGTTACACAAATATTCATTGGGTGCCTGGGGATTTTGAATCTCTCTCCACATGTTTTCCCACTCAAGTTTTCAACCCAGTAGTAATAGTAAGTAAATGTGGTAAGGAAAAATGCTATCCACAAAAATCGTGTACGGTAGTATCCACATCCATCAACCATTCAAAGTCGTTTATATGCACGTGAGTGACTAATGCAACAAAACATGCCTTAATTAAGATGATTTTGATGCATTTACTAGATAAAATTGAAACAAATTAATTCTAGCATATGGCTCACCTTCTCTTCCGTGAAGTTAGCCCAAAAGCGTGATATGGCTCTTGCATAAGGATCTTGAGGCAACAATGGGGTTTGCTTCCATGTCTCATCAATATATTCAAGAATAGTGAATGACTCAGAGACCACTTCGTTGCCATGAACCAAAACTGGAACTTTTTTGCGAACTGGATTGAGTTGCAGAAGAAGAGGGCTTTTGTTGAAGATATCTTCTTCTACATACTCATAATCAATGGCCTTCAGCTTCAGAGCCCACTCCACTCTACGGGAAAATGGACTGAAAACAAACCCTAAAAGCTTAACCTTATCTGTTGCCATGACAATTTTCCTAGTACTTAATTAGATCATCTTTCTTTGTTTGTGTTGCTTGCTCTTGTCGTATTTATAGTGCTTTTCTCTCACAATGCGTTGGGAAACAGACGCCATATTTGACTGAAAAGGAGTAGGCACACCAGCCATTCTTTCATTATCTTAAGTTGATTACGTCACTGATTTCGTCACAAGTTTCTCGCAATGATGAAAGGATTCTATCCTCAAACTTCAATGACAAATATTTCCTAAATGTTTTTTTTTTTGTTTTTTTTTTTGTGTGGTGATCGTTCCAAGGATGAAGCTTATTATGTATTGTAGTTCAATTATTTTAACAACTTAACTACCTGCATAGTTTGGTATATGCGGCATTTTATATAAAAGGTTTTGATGTTATTAGTAAATGAACCACTTATCATATAGTATTTTATTTTGTGAAATTTCTGATGTGTAATTTTACATTTTTGAAAAAATTTATGACTCTAAGTATCCGTTTGGCATTGCTTATTTGGGGTAATAAGTGATTTTTTAAAAATTTTGAGAAGCACAACATGTTTCGTAAACTGTGAGAAAATCACTTATTGTTAAAAATTGCTGTGAGAGAAAGCTATAAGGGAAAGCAGCTAATGAGGTGCTTTCATTTTCTGATTATGCAGGAATCAGTTTCAAAGATGCGCTGGGTTTAATGATTATGCAGCAATTATTTTTTAATTATGCGTAAAATCAATATCAACAACACTTTTAACAAAAATTTTACCAAATGCCAAACTGCTTTCTCTCACAGCTGATTTCTCTCACAGCAAATCTGACAGCAATTATTTTCACAGCACAGCAATGCCAAACTTAAATACATGATTAGTCTATAATTAGGGTGATAAGAGAAAACACACCAGCGATACACCATGATTTCAGTGCTTGAGATAAGTAAGATCAAATTTGGTGTGAGAGGTCGAGATCACACCAGAAGAACTCTTTTTAAGTGGACCATTCTATGCATACGAAAAAGTAGAACTTGGTTTCTAAAATCTGTTTGGGATATGGGCTGCAGTGATGTTGTGCTGGAAACTGACTCAGCCGTTGCAGTGCATCTTCTCAATAAAGCTGTGGATGCCCTCCACCTTCTTGCTACATAGTCATGGGGCTGCCCAAGTAACATAAAAAAAATGTTGGGGCTGCTCTATTTATCATGTCTATCGTGAATGCAATATGGTGGCTGATAGACTTGCTAACTTGGGCTCTTGCCTTGATTTGGGTCTCTGTACCTTTCATGTGCTTCCCGACAGTATTTGGTCCTCTGTTGTTGATGACCTGCGTGGTCTCTGTAGGCCTCGGACTGTAGTTTAGTGTTTTCTTTTGGGCATGGCCCCATCTTTTCACAAAAAACAAAAAAGTAGAACTTAAAGCAATCAGGTCTCGAGATCACACTAAGGATTTGTGTGAAGGGTTGTGTTACACTGACCTGGAAAGCAAATCAGAAGAACAATGGCCACTCTCTTTCTACTTTGAAACGTTTCAAGTTGGTTTGCCTTTTTTACAAGTTAGAAAAACAAGTGCCTTGCCGTACATACATGGTTGCCCAAAGCCCTGGATTTGATGGAGCTAAAAGAGAAAAGGCAAGTATAAGGCACCGCCTTTACCTGGTTGGAAAAGTGACTTATGAATTGGGTTTAGAATTAAGTATCTGTTGGGTTTTGAAAGAAGGCATACTGGCATCTGATTAAATTTATGATAAATTATACAAATGGTGAGGGGACAGTATTCTTCAAATTTATTCTAAGGGACCCCAAAGCCTTCCTCCTATACTCTTCTTGGTAAACTTCCATTTAACAATTAAGAAGAAAACAATTCATCCTCGTCATCCAAATAAGAAGAAAACAATTCATCCTCGTCATCCAAGATCGAAGCAAAATATTGGAGTTAAAGGTAACAATTTTTAACATGATACAACACTTACATGAAATTAGCAGATCAATGTTGACAATATCCTAATTTTCTAACTTCACCTCATAATATATGTGAGCCAAATTGAACACGACATGACACCATTTGAGTATTTTAACCCAGGCTCTCCCATTGGTGAAAAGGGAAAGAAGAAAGACACGAAAAATACAGAGTTGAGTTACAAATCATGACCCCGCCCCGCCATACTGATCAACCTAGACAGTTTATCAAGCATGAAGACAACACATAAGAAAATTAGAGGAAACGAAAGAAAAAGAAACAAAGGAGGATACAGAAAATTCCTGAAAAGGAAGTCGAGGCCTTGTTAATCTTATGCTTCTGCTCACCGCACAAAACCGGAATTCCCAAGGTCAAACAAGGGATATCATTGACCTTCGATTGTCATCTAAACCAGACATGTGAAGTGAAAATAATAATTACACTTCCTAGGCTACTTTTTTCAAAAAATGGTAGGGTCTTTGTATCTCTTGAAAATATCTTCAATGTCAGCCACCACTTCCGGTGGCAAAGGCCTCTCTGTCAACAGAAAAGCATCAATGTCTTCCTTCAGTTGGTTCACAGAAGTTGCACCAACGATTGAACTTGTCACAAATGGACGGTCCCGTGCAAACCCAAGTGCAAGCTGAACTGGAGTTAGCCCGTGCTTCTTGGCTGTCTCGATATACTTTATTGTTGCTTCCTGAAAACAGAAAAAGTAACATTAAGGCAGAAAATCAACAAGCTGTAATGGAAATTATCCTCATCAATCTATATCCAGAACATAAAGTAACTCGTCAAGCAAGGCAAACCAACTATTTCCAAAACATCCAGTGTACAAACTATATTTCATGCTGCTGTCCGGCCATGGTTTTTAATATATCCAATGACAAGTGGGAAGCAATCAACCTACTTGTGGGTGGTGCCAAATTCAAAGGCCTTCTAATTAGGAGTCCTAGCCTTTAATTGCAAACAAGGGCACTCGTATCAATAATGGGATTAAATTAAATTTGAAATTTTCTTCTAATGAAACTATAAACAGTCAGCAAGTGCTTTATTCAAATCAACAGTAAACACTGATGATAAATCCCCATATCAGAGCAGTTCATATTTTTATTAGATAATAAAATAACTAAATATATCGTGCATGTTTGGTGTTTATTTTAGTTTAGTCTACATGATCTATTATCTATATGACATGTTGAATATTAAAATACCCTGGCAATAGATTTGTTATATCTTTCCATGTAGCCAGGGAGAAGGTTCAGCCTCCCTTTTTTTGCAGCTTCGGAATTGATATCTATGTACTTTCCAGTAAGAGTTCCACCACCCAGTGGAGAATAAGCCAGTAAGCCAATGTTGTAATTTTTCGGGTGGCAAACTTCAACAAGATCAACTGCAAATCATCAAGTAATAGAATTACAAACTCAATGAAGTTAAGAGAATGACATACAAAAAACAGGGAGGGAAAAGATAAACATGGCATCATGTAAACATCTCTATCCAATGCACACAACAAAGGTGTCGATCAGTAAAAGCAACAGGTTGGATACACAGCCCAACCATGTCGACATCCCAATACATGAGAAGATATAGGTCAAGTGAGGTAGGTATAACTTAGCTTAGCACTCAAACAAGTAAAACACTGTAATTTCAATTTCAACAAGTTCAGCAAAGATTGGTTAAAGACAGTCAAACAAACTGACAGAAAGGAAACAACTAATGAACCATATTGTATTATTTAAATGTGTCTCAAAGGACTAAGATTGCAAATTAGTAATCAAAGAAAATGGAGGCATTTGCTTTACCATTTTAGGTTTATTATACTTAGTTCAAACATATTTTGATGTATTAACTAGCCTATTCACATCATGGAGTTGATATAACTATCTAAAGAGAAATATCAACAGCAAGTTTTATGTCAAGCTGACTAATATTAAGGTAAAAGATTTTATCTGCTCATAGCATCAGAATATGACTTACTTTCAAAACGAGTTCTAACTAGCAGACTGTAACGGTTTTGGATACTGACGATCTTTGGTAGTCCTTCAACTTTAGCTGCATGTACAAATTCCATCACTCCATATGAAGTTTCACTGGAAACACCAATGTATCGTACCTATACCATTCAAACGGAATCTATATCATGTAAGTTAAAGATGCTTAGAGACATCAAGCAGTTACACAGAGCATGCAACACTCCAATTTTTAGTAACATTCAGGAGTTACGCTTTCAAGATTCACTCTTTTTCTAGTTATGAGTGTACCAACTCATAAATCCCCAGTATGTTGCATCTACATTGATGCAGACACAACTAGGAATTCACAAAGACAAACTCAAGAGAACTATGATGCTATGTTTAAATTCACATTATAACAAGTCTTGAAAAAATTAATAGTTTTTACGTAACTTCCACCTCTGATGCAGGTGCTTTACAGTTGAACCCAAAAGTCAAAACTTTCATTGGTTTGAATAGTTGTTACCTTTCCTTCATCAATGAGTTCTTGAAAAGCCTTCAGCTGCTCCACGAATGGCACACTTGGTCTCCATTTGGAAAAATCATAAGAATACGCACCAAATAGTGGCACATAGCGATCTGGCCTGGATTAAACAAAATACTTTAGTTTCCGGAAATCACCACCTTAAACTAGTTAACATCCAGATTCTTTTTCTGAAAAGTAAAGAGCAAACATCTTCACTAGTCATTCCAACATATCATGAGACAAATTGGAAGCCTTCAAATTCAAAAAGAAGTAACAGTGCTGGTTTAATGCTTAGTTTGCCTTTACCCCTGCTTTTAAGTGATTCAAAGAATGGAAATGTGAATCAATATGGAAGGGTTCCAGACCAAATGAATGGAGAAATATACATTTTCTGTTACTGAATTATTATTATGATTATTTCTTGCACTCCCAACCTACGTTAATTAATGATTTTCCAAAGTGAAATAATTATTTCAGCTTATTTTCTTCAATGGAAATGGAAGTTACATGTAAATTTAATACATAAAAATTGACAAACTTGTCCAATGATGTGTTAAGTGTTCATATGAATGTCACATGACCAATTTCCATTTAGAGTCTTAAAAGTTTTCGAACGGAATGGTTGGTTTGATTGCTCGATTAGGAGAGGGCAAAACAAAAATGGAACAGCATGAAAACCAGTCCTTACCAAAGGACTCTGGTTTGCTTCATAGAAAAGATCTTCAGTTCATAGATACAAGCAAAATGTAGAGTTAAAAGACGCTTGAAATGTCTAATAAAAAACAGACTAAAAAGTTGGCCCAGTCCTAAGTTCATTTGATGAGTTGTGTGATGCCACAAGTGGGTCAGGAAAAAAAGAACAATTTTGCAATTAGAGTGTGAGTCCATGTAAAGTTCCAGTTAATTATCATTACGGGTACGTAGTGTGTGATACTACAAAAATCACAAACCAGGTGAGAATGTAGCATGTAAGTTTGTATAATGTGTGAAGTTTGATCAATAAACTTACCAATGAATTTGTATTAAATCAATGTAATCTGTGCCAAGGCGCTTAAGGCTTTTCTCTACACTTTCCTTAATGTTTGCAGCATCCACCCGCAAGACCGTGGCATTGTCACGCAGGTAACTTGCCGTCTCCGAATACCCAGATACTTTTGTTGCCAAAATAACCTATTTACACAGCATAGTAATGAGTTAAAATGATGATCCTTGCCTTTTTATCACTGTGAACCAGGACCGCACATTCAGACATCATTCAACCAAATCAATGGTCCTAATTCAATGTGACAACAACCAGCAAGTACCTTATCACGGGGTTGAGACTTGAGCCAGCTGCTGATAAAACGATCGGTGCTTCCCTGAGTTTCCTTCTTCATTGGAAATGGGTGCTGCAACAAACAAAAAAGATATAAACATTAATCAAAACCCAAACGAAACAAATTTAAACTGAGGCCAACAAAATTCAAGCAATCTACAAGCACTTACGGTTTCTGAAGTGTCCAAAGCGTTAATCCCATTTTCGAATGCGTAGCTGAGAATCTCATGAGCTTCTTTCTCTGTGTTTTGCTCGCCGAATGTCATGGTTCCGAGAGTGATTTCGCTAATTACAAGGTCTGAGTCTCCGAGCTTCTTGTACTGCAACGACGTCTTCTGGTCGAGCTTGGCATTGATGGTTGTTTTCACAGAGCTCCGCCGACAGAAGCTTCTTCTGGTTCCGGCTCTGGAAGATGACCACGGTGCTGCTGTTGCTGCGTGGTTGCAGAAAAAGGCGGTGGGGCAAGAGGCCATGGTGACCGATAAGGCTTTCTTGCTCCGCTGCTTATTAGGCCTTGTCGAATTCCAACCATTTCAAAAGTCAATGGAGCCCTGTGAGACACACAGACACTGTGTTAAGGAGAGAGGAAGTGCTTGCGTACGTTGACCGGACATCCATAATTGGGTCAAGCAGACTTCAATAATATCATAATTGGTGGCTGGTGTCCGGTCCGGTCATTCGGACACCAGCACAAGTTTCTATCCTGAAACTTCTATTGACAAATATTTCCTATATGTATTTTTTTTTTCGTGTGTGTGATTCTTCAAGGATGAAGCTTATTATGCATTGTAGTTCAATTATTTAAACAACTTAACTACCTGCGTAGTGTGGTATGTGCCGCATTTTATATAAAAGGTTTTGATGTTATTAGTAAATGAACCACTCATCATATAGTATTTTATTTTGTGAAGTTTTCAACATGTAACTTTACACTTTTGAACACCCACTTCCATTGGGCAACTAATTTTTATGACTCTAAATACATGATTAGTCTATAATGAGGGTGATAAGAGAAAGCACACCAGCGATACACCATGATTTCAGTGCTTGAGATAAGCAAGATCAAATTTGGCGTGAGAGGCCGAGATCACACCAGAAGAACTCTTTTTAAGTGGACCATTTTATGCATACGAAAAAGTAGAACTTGGTCTAAAATCTGCTTGGGATATGGGCTGCAGTGATGTTGTGCTGGAATCTGACTCAGCCGTTGCAGTGCATCTTCTCAATAAAGCTGTGGATGCCTTCCACCCTCTTGCTACATTGTTATGGGGCTGCCAGAACTACATCAAAAAATGTTGGGGCTGCTCTATTTATCATGTCTATCGTGAATGCAATATGGTGGCTGATAGACTTGCTAACTTGGGCTCTTGCCTTGATTTGGGTCTATGTACCTTTCATGTGCTTCCCGACAGTATTAGGTCCTCTGTTGTTGATGACCTGCGTGGTCTCTGTAGGCCTTGGACTGTAGTTTAGTGTTTTCTTTTGGGCATGGCCCTGTCTTACCACACACAAAAAAAGAAAAAAGAAAAAGTAGAACTTAAAGCAATCAGGTCGAGATCACACCAAGGATTTGTGTGAAGGGTTGTGTTACACTGACCTGGAAAGCAAATCAGAAGAAAAATGGCCACTCTCTTTCTACTTTGAAACGTTTCAAGTTGGTTTGCCTTTTTAACAAGTTAGAAAAACAAGTGCCTTGCCGTACATACATGGTTGCCCAAAGCCCTGGATTTGATGGAGCTAAAAGAGAAAAGGCAAGTATAAGGCACCGCCTTTACCTGGTTGGAAAAGTGACTTATGTATTGGGTTTAGAATTAAGTATCTGTTGGGTTTTGAAAGAAGGCATACTGGCATCTGATTAAATTTATGATAAATTATACAAATGGTGAGGGGACAGTATTCTTCAAATTTATTCTAAGGGACCCCAAAGCCTTCCTCCTATACTCTTCTTGGTAAACTTCCATTTAACAATTAAGAAGAAAACAATTCATCCTCGTCATCCAAGATCGAAGCAAATCATTTTGGCCCCTCCTCAATCCAAACCAAATTTTGAGAGTACGAAAGAGGAAAACGAGCTAATTCATGTGCGGTACGATTTTTTGATCTGAGATCAATATTGACAAATTCTGAAGTCAAAATTTCCCATATAAAAAGGGACCTCATGCATAAGAATACCATCAATACAGACCTTTTTGTCACACTAATTCACCTAAAATTTTACTGGGTTCTTACCAAAATGTGAATTTGAATCTGCATGTATAACTAAATGTTGTATTATTCTATAACCTTATAAGGAGAGAGAATATGTGTACTTGTTGTACTCAACTACTCATATACTGCAACTAGTAGGTGATCAGAAAAAGAGGAGCTGTAGAAAATTGTCATATCATACAGTTTCTACAGCCCACAACAAAACAAACACAAGGTGACGTACTGGAAACCCCACCATATATAAATACAACCCAAAATAATTAATGAGTGCTTTACAGTACAGAACTAACATATACTAAATACACTTTGGCTGGTCTTCGTCTCTCACCAAACTTAGGACCCAAGCTTGCTCCAAGCTGGGGCCTCCAAGCTTTGCCGAAAGTGAAGACCACTTTGGCTAAGCAAACACCTAATAATTGAATTTTTATTACTGCTTTGCCATTGGCATCCCACAAGCTGAATGTTTCTTAATTGGCTGGCTGCCGTGACTAGAATGGCATTTCCAGCAATTTTCTCAAAAACCAAGAACATTTAGCAAACCAGAATACAAGAGTAAGGTATCGAAGCTTCTTCCTTAAGTGCCATCATCACGGCCTCATAGCCTATCATTTGCAACCAACTCCTTGCTTAGAGAGGAAACAATGATCTCGTCACGACCTGATGCTTCTATGTCACGCCGGGTGCTCGCAAAGAAGCTTGGCTGCGCCAAGAAGGCGTGGAAGAGCTTCACCAACAAGCTACAATCAAAACTCCACAAGCTCAACATCCCCAAAGCTGTCGAAACAACCACCAGACACCTCCGTGCCTTGCGGAGCAAGTTCCATTTCCTTATCCCATCCAAACTCCGAGCTCTCACCAAAGCTTCCTCTACCTTTCCTAGAGACCAGTTTTACAACCATCACTATGAGGCCTTTGAATCCCATATGGGCTATGCACTGGGTAGATCTAGCTACCAGTACCACAACAAGGTTGTTCATAATAAGAATTCTGCAGCCATACACATAGACGAGCTCTTTGCAGAGCCTGCCACCGTCTATGAGGACACAAAGAAGAACCAGCATTCAGGTGAGCAGGCAGAAACAAGCAAAGGGAAACAAGTGGTCGAGGATAACGGTGATGGGAAGGCTGTAGCAAGAGATAAAAAGAGTTTGTATAGCGTTGAAGATGCATGGCAGGCAGTGGTTGCTAAGTCACCGCAGCTGCGGGTGGTGGATGAGAGGGCAGAGGAGTTCATTACCAAGTTTAGGCAAGACATGAAACTTCAGAAGGAGAAGTCCCTTCTTGAGTTCCAAGAGATGTTGGCTCGGAGTACCTAAATTGATTATATATTGATTATGATTTATTATTAGATTTGTTAGTTTCATTTTTTCCCAATACAAAAGTTGGAAGTGATACAAGAAGCTTGAAGGTTTGTGAGTTTTTGGCTGTGGCTTTCAGGTGAAGTGATTGACGCAGTGGTTCCTGCTGCAGATAGTGTGAAGATGTGTAGAAACTTTAGGTTCTTTTCCTTTTAATTTTTCTTTCTTTTTATTTTTTTTGGTTTTACACATACATGGATTGCTTGTGTGGCTTGGTGTATTGATCGAAAACATGAATAAAAGATTTTCGTTTGAGTATTTTAAAGAGTGCACAGGCGCATAATGAATTACTTGATTATTTCTTGGCAAGTCAATTATTGAAGGACATTAATGGTGGAATGTCTCACATTGGCTGTAAGTCCTTTTATTTATTTCACAAGTGATGGTATAACTACTCTAATCTACGGAAAATGGATATTGAACTCGACTGTAAGGAGATGAACACACTGCCTCTAAACCCAAGTCTGCACATTGATTGTAATAATATCAAAATCATTCATTATTTATTTACTTGCCTTGGATAAAGTTCCCATTATTTTTTATTAATGATTTATTGAAGTAAATTAATGGTGAATTGTCCCACAGGAAACTATTTTATTTTTAAATTATTCAATTAATTACTGTGGCTTTATGCAGCCAAATTCATTAGTGCACCACATGAGCTATTTAGAAGCAATTGGCATCACTATGAACATTGAAGGAACTCAATCCCAATTCCCAAACCCCAATATCCATGAGAAAGAGTAGAGTTAATCTTTTTTTTTACTTGTATGATTTCATTGTTCTACGGATGTACACAAAACAGCAAGGTCCAAAGAGCTCAGACAACAGCAGGTTTCTGCAAATGTTTCTCCAAGCTTAACCAACAAAAATGCTACTTAAGTTATTCAAGCTTACAGTATCCAGAAGAAAGGCAAACCCAGTTGACACTTAGTGCAGAAAATCTTTCATGGGATCATCGTTATGTATCTTTTTCATCCGATATGCCTCCATCTCCTCAAGAGTAACCTACAAAGTGCATTGCATGGTGTAAAGACATTTATCAAAAAGGCTAAATACTAACAATCAAGCAATATATCACCAATTGAAGTATAATGAGATCCTTATACCTCATCATCCCATTTAACATTATATTTACGCTTTCTTTCATCCTTCTCTTCCTTTCTTCTCTTATCCTCCTGCCAAAATAAAAACACATGAGCAAACAACCAACAAAGTTCAGGAAAAATAGGGTGATGTGAAATTTGAGTCACATCAATTCCATCTTAAAATATATTGCATGACACTAAGAGAGGTAACTTGGAAATTTAAGCCACAAGATCACCTTCTTAAGAGCATCATCAAGTTTTTTCTGGTCAAGAACCAAATCATCAGGTATATCAGTTCCCCAAGTAGCAAGCCTTTTCTCTTCTGTTGGAGCAGGCATCTCTGCATCATCAATTTTGAAGATCCAATCAGAATGGAACTTTTTGTATAAAAATCAACATATAATCAAACTAGCAAGACTTATCAACATATAAATGGAAAACAATATCATAAGCACAAACTGTAAATGAAATAAAGGACATACTAAAACCAACCACAATATGAAAGGTACAAACCTTCTGAGGCTGCTTTGCGGGCAACATTCGCCTTCATTAGGTCTGCTGCTTCCTCAGCAGCCTCAATTCCAGCTGCACCCGTGCAGTAACTGTTCCGAATTGTTTGCTTACAACACTTGTATCCCCATTGGTGATCCTTCCACCATGATCCCCAAACACTTGTGTGGTTGTTGATGTAAACATCCTCTTCATACTTGCTTTTGGGAAGGGAAGTCTCCTTCAAAAGAAAACCAGAAAAGAAAAGAAAAAAAGTTAAATTTGCATTCAAAACGCTACACATAAAAGTTTAAAAGAAAATGTCTGGATTATCATGTATATTTTGAAGATGAACAACTTGGGTGGAAGACAATTAGGTAGATTAATTAATCTAATAAACAAAATACTTAGTTTAGCAAACAACATTTAAGCTACTTTGCATATAGCATTAATAGAAAGAACAGAACAATCTACACCAGACCAAAAGACTTTAAAATTTATAACTGTACTTCAGCACCATGGATGCTGCTCTAACAAAACAGTACTTGCTATAAATTCCTTCAAAACATTTATTATCCAATAATCATGAAGTCAACATGTAACCACTGACAACAAAAATAGATACCCACACATGATATTTCAGAGGCTCAAGCAATGCCACACTAAGGTGGGGTTAAATAGCTTCAAAATAATTTTGGTCCACTACCATATATCACATTCTCTGGAACAGTCACATTTTGAAAAGTAATCCCAATGAAAGTATTGACTAGTACCAAAATATGAGCTGGTACGTACAAACACTTGGATGCATGCACACACACACAAACTCTTAAAGCAAAGCCCTTTTTTTTTGCATAACATAAACGGTATAAATATAAACAACGCAAGGCAAAATCCAAAAACAGAGATGATTATTTGAGAATGAATTTAATTTCATATATACCATGCCCTTTACAACTCTGCCGGCACGATCATATTCAACTTGTTTCTCACTTTGTCCCAAAAGAAGCTCCTTGGGAAGTACTTCTTCGGTTGCAGCATTGCCATACTTCTCCATGATGGCATCTTTCATTTGTGACTTCAATTTGTCCTTAACGACCTTAAAGTTTTTATACAGCAATTCTGCTTGAGATGGAGCAGCTTGCATGTGGATGTCTTGTCCTTTTTCAAATGCTTCCCATGCATGAATATTAAGCTTCTTGAACTCTAGAGCTTGCCCACTAACTCTGTATTGGTTATCTCCCTGTAATAATGGCAAGTTGTCAAATCAATTGTTTGTTACAGTCACTATATTAAAGGAAAAAGTTTTATAAAAAAAAAATTCCAAGTATATTCCACAATTTCCAGAGGCACTCACTCCATAAAACTTCTCATTCGGGTCAGCATCAGGAAGAGGATCTTCACGCATGGATCGGGTTTTAGGATCATAATAAGCAGAATTAACATCAAGGTTTAAAAGATATTTAGCTGTGTCCTCCCGAATACGCAAATTTCTGAGCCAAAAGAAATTAAAATCAAAATAAGGCGTATATCATCTTTTGGAGGAAGGTTATACACAAAATAAGATAAGTTTCTTACTAAGCGACATACAGAAAATCAAGGAGATAGCAAACAAAATTGCAATACGTACCTGACAGTTCCAGTGCTTCCACCACCAGTTGTTCGAACACGCTTCTCAACCTTTGCAAAATCCATTTGTTTGCTTTCATCAACCTTGGCCTCATCAACCTTCAGAGCATCATTATCCTCATCATCATCACTAACCTCCCCCTCCCCATTCTGCTTATTATTTTTCTCCTCCAACTTTTTCAGCTGCTGCTCCTTCAGGTATTTCCTTCTAGCCTCATCCCTTGCTTCGTATCTCTCAATGACACGAGCATAAGTTGCTGCATCAAAACCATTCCATCTATCCCGTTTTCCATCATAATCCAGCTCAAACATCTCTATCTTTTCATCAGGTGCAATGTGAAAATTTGTCCACTTTGCTCCTTTCTTTCTAGGCCTCTCCATGCAGGACTTAGCGCTATGTGTCATGGCCCCACAGCTGTCAAAAGCAAACGATGAAAACCCAAGGTACTACAAGAATCCCAACTCAACACAGCACATGATAAGAACACAGGAATGCAGAAGAGTTTTTTTTTTTTAAATCATGAGCTAAAACATGTATCCTATGATCCTATCCCCAAATAAATAAATAATAAACAAACTTTTGTTTGCTGACATAATTATATGACTATACAAAACCAGACAAAAAATTGTTTTTAGGCATTCATGAATTTAACCACAGAATATCCCAAAAAAAAACTCATGGAACCCTCATAAATATGAGAATTATCAAGTAAAGACATGTAAATTATTTGATAAGCTAACAAACCAGTGTTGGACATGGGTGGATATACGAATGTTGTGAGCCCATAACACCATCAGCAATCTTGTCATTCCCTATATGAAAAGCATTTTCCCATTATCAACTGTACACAAAAAATGACTTCCCCAGTGGAAAGACACGATCATTAAACACGCATTACAATTATCGAACAAAAATATTATATTCGAGATTTAATTAGCAAGTATGATAGCAGGAAAACAATCAGGGACCAATATTATAAGCAATGCATCATCCACATACTTTTCACATGCTCCTTTCCGGTACTTATCCGCGTGATAAATCTTTGCACCTCTGTCATACCAGGATTTTGTATAATTCGGATCGGATTTCCATTTCCTTTGATGTTTTAAACTCTATACAGAAATAGAAAGAAAAATCCCCATAAGCATATGCAGCTTTGACATCTCAGTAAGAAAGGGTTTACAAATCTTTGAATGTTAGCTTACTGGTCTCTCAGCATTAAGATACCAAGGCGCAGATGACATATATTGAGGAATGTGAGGATTAATCTCTTTCCCATCTTCATCAACTTCAGCTGGTGCTAACCCAGCTTTACGTGCTTCCTCCAATTCAATCTGCTTCCGATGATCCTCCCTTGATTTGAAAGCCACTGCACACACCACGAAATAGAATAACAAAACTTTAGAAAACAATGAAATTGTGATACAACATTCTTACTGAAGTTTAAATTACCAAGGCAAATTTTCTTGCAACATTTATATAAAAAAAGAATTTGAATTGAAATTATTCACTCCAATATTGGAACGAAGATCCACCTTCGTGAAGCATTAATATGAACATGATGTTTTGTTCTTTAGTTTTATGCGTACAATGTTTTTGTATTGTTCGGTAACTATACTCTAAAAATCACCCACATTTGTGCTAGTACATTGTGAAATTAGCAAAAGGGATCATTTTCATTCACCAATCACCAACTATTGTGCAAAGATAGATATCAGAAATACCATTTCTCAATCCCATCCTACGTTCAC